ATTTATTTAAAGAATTCATAAGAATCTTATTAATAAATTATTAAAATATAATTAGATTATTAATAAGACTAAACAGCAGTATATAATATTTATAGATTTTCAATAAATATAAAATATTATCAGATTCTCAGAGTCGGGATCCATGCAGATTCAGTAGAATTATTAATTAATTTATCATTTTATTAATTAATAAGATCAGATAAAGATAATTTAAATTAATATATTTAATTTTTAATAATTTATATAAAAATATAATTCTCCTCCGGGCTTCTACACTATGAGAATAAAAAAATATATAATATTATATTAAAGATAATAAATTCTTTTTTTAAATTTTTAATAATATATTTTTATATTAATTTATATAGGAAGGCTGCTTCCAGTAGATTTTTCAAATTTTATCTAATAATTATAAGAATAGAATAGCAGAAAAATATTTAATTTTTTTTTAAAAAAATATTAAATTATAATAATATTCAGGCAAGATCTACTTAATTTATTTTTTTTATTAATTTAAAATCTTAATTTATAAGATTTTATTTATCTGAAATTGTCTTTTTAATTATATTTTTAAATATAATAAATATTATAAATTTTTAATTTTAAAAATATTTATAAAATATAGTAGTCTTATGTAATTTTATCTTAATCTTATTTAAAGTATTTTTATTATAAGACTTCAGGGGTAGTATAAGCTATTAATATTAAAGATTTTAATTATTAAAATTATAATTTATTTTAGTTAAAGTTTCCTACGGTGAGCTTTAGTAAAATTATAGTAATATAAATTTATATTCAAAAATTAATATAAAATATAATAATTCTAATATTTTTTAAAAATATTTATTTTAATAAATAATATCTTATTAATAACTTTAGTCTACAGGACACTAGTCTAAAATATTTTAAGAAATGTAATATAATAAATTTATTTTAATATTATTTTATAATAAAAATTAGTCAGGCCAATCAAGCTGGTAATATTAATAATTTAATAAGATTTTATATTTTATAAATTATATTTTATAATACAATATTATATTAACCAAGGTTAAGAATTAGAAAGAGAATATTGTTAAATTATTATTTATTAATAATAAAATTAAAATAAATAATATATATCAGAGATAAAGTGACTTTTCTATTGAATCTTGTTATAATATATTTCATTATTAAAAAAATATTTTACTCTGGAATTAATATATTAATTTAATTATAAAATTAATATTTATATATATAAATATATTAATTTTAATATCTGTTAAAGTATATATAAATATTATTAATTTATTTTTTAATATTAAAGTATTTATTATAAAATTAAAATTTTTTTTAGTCTAGTAGAGTCTGCAAGTCTAATAAACTTATATAAATTTTTATTTTTTATTTATTTATTTTTTTATAACTTTTAGTTGCTTGATCTGAACTATCTTTTTTATAAATAATTTTTAATAAATAAAGTATTATTTTTTAATTATTATATAATTATGATTCTCAGGCTCCAGATTTAAAATATAATTAATAATTTAAAAGATTTAGATATTAATAAAAATAAAAATAATAAAAATAATAATATTTGAAACTGCTAGTAAAATACAGTAAAATAATAAATTAATTCTTAATCAATAAAGTCAGAAGCACCAGTATAGAATTTAATAAATTAATCAAAATCTATATTATTATTTATAAACTAGGCTGTAATTATCTTTTTCAATTTAAAAAATAATTATTAATATAAAAATTTTTTTAATAAAATTTAATATTAATCTTTATTATCAGATATTAAAATATAAATATAAAATTATAAAACTTTTTTTATATATTATTTTTAATTTTTAATATCAATATCAGGTATTTTAATTTTTATTTAAATTAATAAAAATTATCTTTAAATATTCTAGTATATTAATAGTATTCTTATAAGAATTAATTACTTTAAGATGAAATTAAAAAATTAAATATTTTCAAATATTTTAAAATATCGTTTATAGTAGCTGTTTATAAATATATTAAATAATTAAAATAATCAAATAATTTATATTAATTTTTAAATATCAGAATTCTTTATTATTAAATATCAGGAAATCAGGAATCTTTAAAAGAATTTTCAAATTAAAAATTTTAATTTTTTAATTATTATAAATTATATAATATACTATCAATACTGCCTATATATTATATTTCTAAAAATATTATTATATTTTTTAATAAGCTTGTTTTATTTAATAATTAGTATATTATATTTATTAATTATAATATTCAATTCTACTTTTATTTTATTTCATAAAATTAAAAACTAGATTAAAAGTTTCTTTAAAATTCTTTTTATATATTTTACTAAATTTTTTTAATCTTTCTATAATTATTTTTTTTATTCAGTAAAATGATAAAATATTATTTTAGATTTTTTTATATAAAATAAAACCAGCCTGGCTTTCTCTGATTATTATAATTTAAAATAATTATTAATTAATTATTTTCTTTAAAAATTTAATTTAAGCTCTTTTATCTTGGTTATTTTATTATTATTAAATATATATTAAATGAATATTGATAATTTTATTAGATAATTAATTACTTGTAGTATTAGTTAAAGAAAAAAATAATTAATTATAATATTTAATATCATATAAAAGCTAATTAAATAATTATATTCAGTATATCTAAACTAAAATATTAAATATAAAAAGGAAAAGGAAAGGAGTGTAGAGAAATACATATAAATAATAAGAATAAATAAATAAAATAAAATAAATAGAATAAATAAATAAGATTTTATATAATTAATAAAATAGGTAAAATCTATGTTATATACTATATCATATGCCTCAGTCATGTCACTCGCCATCACAATAATAATAAATTATATTGCTTCACAAGCTATATTAATAGATTAAATGTTTAATATTCATTTATAATTATTTATAAGATATCTCTTAGTGATTCTTATATATATACCTACATGTTATATACATAAAAATAAATATATTAAATTAATTAATTTTTTATTCTGTATAGATATCATATATATGGATATCATTATTATACCTCTTTTATTTCCTTCTTTATTTATTTAATCTTATCAATATAATCCAGATAGAATTGTTATATGATTTCAAGGAAATTATCTTATTGGCTATCTTTATAAATATTCATATAAAACAAAATATATTATTATTTATATTATCTAATAATATAATATTAAGATTAAATAAAATATATTTACTGTCAGAATCTCCTAGTATAGTTTTTAGCAATAATCATAATTTTATCTTTCTAGTACAGGGACTTTAATAAATCAAAAATTAGATTAAATTAATATTGAATTATATCTATTATTTTTTATTTATTTTTACAAGACTCCCAGCTAACCAGTGAGTTTATAAATCATGAAATAAGTATATAATATTAACAATAGTTTTATAATAATTTTTTTAATATAATTTTTCGGAGAATACTGGCTCCAAGTTAATTAATATCATCATTAATAATTAGTTTAATTAATAAACAAATAATAAAAATAAAATAAGACTTACTGAGCAGGTAAAAATTAAGAAATATATAAAGCAGCCTGATCTCTAGAGAATAAAAATTTTTTTCTAGATTTATTAATTCTTATGAATACACAGGCTTCATTCAGACATGATTACTTATTATAGTCTTTAGGTTCTCACACCACGGGTTCAACCTGGCCTAATCTAATATTAAACAGAACTCTCAGCCGCATCGGCTACCCGCCTGCGCCGGCCACCCCTACCACACCGCCCTAGAATCATTGTACTACTCATTGCTAATTTACTGCCTTTGATAGAAAGAGTGGTTGCATGTAGAAACATGTTGGGCGGTATACTAGGTGGCCGGCGCGGGCGGGTGGCTGATGCGGCCGGGAGTTACATTAACTACTATAGTATATTATTCCGATGGTCTTACTCCTGATGGCTAGGTTATCCTATCACACTGGGCATGATAACTAGGTTATTCTATCACACAAGACTTATTTTACAAATTATTATTTATATTATTCTTAAAAAAATAAAAAACTAGAGACTATAATATAGTATATAAATTCAGACTTATTCGGAACTTAAAAAAAAGGCCTGTCTAAAGTAGTATAAATATATTTGTTCACAAAGTCTGGTAGACATATTACTTAGTATGAATATTATTTATTAACCTTTACTATTATCTTTACAGCCTTTTTTTATGATATAAATTTTTTTGTGCCTTATTAATTTCTATTATGACATTTATAAGTAGGTTAATCTCCTGATTCAGCATACTTTCGTTCAAAGATAAAGAAGTATTTAAAAATAGATTAAGATAATATTCAGAAAGAAGCAGATATATAGATAAAAAGATATTTAAATAATATACTGAAGTGAGATACAGAGAGAAGTAGATCTGAAAATGATAAAATCAAAGAATATGCTGGAGTTAAATTCAGAAAAAAGCAGATATAAAGATAAAGAAGTATTATAAAATATGCTGAAGTGAGATTCAGGGAGGAGTAGATGCCCTAGATGTTAGACTCAATATATATTTATTTTATTTCTATGTAAATAACAGTTTTCAAAGACTATCTTCTACGACATTGCCTATAGTATTTTTCTAAATGCTTAAATCTAAATTTTTCAGTATGTTAAGCTGTTGAGTATGTGTTTCTAATTGATATGGTACGGGATGACCGAGGTCTCTTACTGTGCATCCAGACAACACTTGACATGCCACAGTTCCGTGTCATTTTAGTAATCAGACGCTCCTGGTAAGCTGCCGCCTCCCAACGGAAGATCGTTCGGACCACTTTTATTTAGTTCTGCACATTCAACTGCGTTCCTGCCACGTACATGGCCATAACGAACAAAGTCAATATTCAACACTTTAACCCTATACGCTGGCAACGTTCTTCAGAGCCCAATATCAATTGAAGCAACAAACATTTGCTCAACCGTTAAAGCAGAAACCGAGTTCGACCACTCTACTCAATATAGCCTCATCTCATCATGTCGTTTTCAAACCTTGTTTCTGACCTTGCATTCAGAGACGCTCAGGATGACCGAAGTTCTCAAATATCCCATGCACGGTCGCAAGCCACCGCACGATCATATACCAGCACGGCTGCGACCAGCGTTAGCATATCTGGTGACATATCTAGCCAGCTTCATTCTGGTTATAGTCACCCATTGAGTAGATCATGGCAAGCCGAGAAGCAGTTGACCAAGGTTCGTATTGCGATATAGTCCTGTAGTATCATGGTCTGATTGTGTGCAGGAGATGCTCATCTATCCCCTATTCATTACTGATAACCCTGACGAAGAGACGCCTATTCCATCCCTTCCAAATCAGTATCGCCGAGGGTTGAATCGATTAGTTCCCTTTTTAAGACCATTGGTACAGAAAGGACTGCGTTCCGTGATTCTGTTCGGTGTCCCTTTGCATCCATCTGCAAAGGATGCGCTGGGAACCGCTGCGGATGATCCGACCGGTCCGGTAGTTCAGGCCATCCGCCTTCTTCGTTCGCGCTTTCCTCAACTTTATATCGTGACGGATGTCTGTCTTTGTGAATACACCTCACATGGTCATTGCGGGATACTACGTGAGGATGGGACGCTCGATAACGCACAATCCGTTGATCGGATTTCAGATGTAGCCCTCGCCTATGCTGCCGCTGGTGCTCACTGCGTGGCTCCGTCAGATATGAACGACGGCAGAGTCCGCGCCATAAAGCTCAAGCTTATTGAAGCTGGTATCGCTCATCGTGTCCTCCTAATGTCCTACAGTGCAAAATTCAGTGGATGTCTATATGGTCCCTTCCGAGATGCCGCAGGCTCTTGCCCATCCTTCGGAGACCGCAGGTGTTACCAATTGCCTCCAGGTGGCCGGGGGCTTGCTCGGCGAGCGATACAGCGCGATATTGGGGAGGGCGCAGACATAATAATGGTGAAGCCCGCTAGTAGCTATCTGGATATCATACGGGATGCGAAGGAGCTTGCCAAAGACATGCCAGTTGCCGCGTACCAAGTTAGCGGAGAGTATGCCATGATACATGCAGGGGCCAAGGCTGGCGTTTTCGATCTGAAATCAATGGCTTTCGAGAGCACAGAGGGTATACTACGGGCAGGAGCTGGTATCATTGTGAGCTATTTTGTGCCCGACTTTCTGGATTGGCTTTCTTAAGCTATTGTGATAAGACCGAGCTAAATCATGACTGTAACGAGTATGCCCACTTTGCTGTTTATCCCCCCTGTATGTTTTTGTCTTTTGCATGTCAAAGTCCATATATCTGATTGAGCCTGTCGATCGATCGAAAAGCATCAATTTGTTGCTTCATTTCCCTCTAAAACTAAACGGAGGAAAAACGCATTGCCTCTTTCCCTTTCCCGCTTGTCCCTGTTAATCTTATTATATTTCCCCATCTCTTGCTGGCCTTTCATAAATTTCCGATACGCCACATTTTGAACAATTGATGATTTATGTCCCACAAATCCTACTTGAAGTCTGTCATCGAAAACAATGCTTCTGTAAAGATGTTTGTGTGTCTAGCTGCTGTGATGTTGAGGACAAGATTATATATCATTTCGCCAATTTAGGCCTGCGGACCACTCATGTTATCAAAGAATACAAATAGGGGTCGATGGAAAACCTAAGGTTATGTCAAAGCTTCACACCTTGTGCTCTGAGCCAGCCAGTTCTCTCAGAATGGATGCAGAGAATAAATCGGTATAATTACAAGCGAAGCTGAAGGTTGATGATAAGGACAAGTATAAAATAGTTGGTATCCTGAAAGCCAAAAACCAGCTGGTACGTACCAACAGATCTGCACAAAAATCACATATAGCTTGGCTTTAGTCCCTGAAAACCATAGGCTACGATGTCTGACTTTACTACCTCTCCAGGAGCGACATACGCCCCGCGTCGTAGTCGAACACCAGGATAGATCGTACAGCCAGCCCCGACGTAGCAATCTTCCTCGATTGTAACAGGGCGCCCCTGATATCGGCTTTGTGAGCCTTTGCGTTCTTGCATATTAGCATGGGCCATCGATGTAAGTATGGTAACCCGGGGACCTATCCAGGTATGGGCACCAATGGTTACAGGACAGTCATCAACAAACAAGCAGTTTTCTGAGACCATAACATCTTCACCGATATGCACGTTGTACCCATAGTGACAGTAGAAAGGTGCTTCAACTATAGCACCTTGCCCTAACGACCCTGTCGAACGAGATGAAGTCAGACCAGGAGGTGAGTTGATAGCTGAGCCTGGAGGAACAAGCACTTCCTTCAGCAACCGACTTTGCTCCTTAGTGCTTAACCCCGAAATAGGGTTACAGGCGTTATTGAACCGCCATAAGGCGGCCTTGCAGCGATCCCTTTCTTCCACGAGGTGAACATCATAAGGTCGGTAGAGGTCACCACGTATCATCTTATCTTTTTCGGTGTCCTCGGTCGATAGTGTACGAGTAGATAACTGATGTTCGATGCTTAGTGCCATCCGCGCCTGAGCCTGGGGGCTATTAGTGTCCACGTTCCCTGAATGTGCTGATCGTTGATCTATCCCTCCTTGGAAGAGCGGGACTGCCCCGGGTTTGGAATGACCTCCATGAGAAAGCTCTCTGATAGGAGGAACGATTGGGAAATCAGACTTAGCATGGCCTTCCCGGGATAACTCATGGATCGAGGGGACCTCGCGGTAATCAGGCTTTGCCACATGATCGGAGATGTAGGAAGGGTGGCCTGTGCTTCCCCAGCTGCGTTTCGTCCATGGACCGCGACCGGAATTAGTTCCTGTGGGACTAGTATTGAACGAGGCAGTTGCCCGGTCGCTTTCGTCTACAACAATAGGCCTGATTTTCCCTGGATCAAGTTGTTCCGGCAAGGTTTGTTGCCGGTCATGCTGACTTATATCGTGGACATACTGAGAATTGACATCCAAATAGCCTTCCTTGGATTGCAGAGGAACTGGAGTTTTCGAATTCGACGGCTTTTGCCAGGTGCTTCGGGATGAATAGCCCTCACACAAAAAGCCCCCCCTGATACAGTTGTTGCCTACAACACCGATGAAGTTAGATCCTAACCATACCACAACACAGCTACGGAAACCATATCACCAAACTTACAGGCAGGATGTTGTTCATCGCACTTCTTTTTCCTCCTCCGACAAGTCATGCAGCCTGTTTTGGTTCGGTTACTAAACACGCGTTTTCTCTTGGGTGCAACTTGAACGGCTGCCTGGGGCCGCTCCTGAGGAAGTACAGATAGTGAGGATGGCTGCTCACTCTGTGCTGGCCCTTCCGTTGGACGACCGCTTGTACCCCAATTCTTTTGAGACGTATCATGGCCATTGGCCTCGCGCTGAAGTGCCTCAGCCAATTGAGCGTCGGATGCGTCAAATTGTTGTGCACGCTGGGCTTGATGTACCAGCTGGGAATCATAATCATGCCATGTTGTATTTGCGGGTGGCGTCCGAGTATCACCCCCATGTTCCTCTAATCGAGGCTGAGTAGAAGGGGATGGATGCTTGATTTCGCTTTCACCATGGGACATGCCGGTGTCGTTCGACGTAGATGTCTGAGTGGGGGGTTGGCTCGTATCATCCGAACGTAGAACCGGGCTTTTCGGAGCCCTGCGAAGCATACCATGGCTTTCTTCTTGTTCCCCAGATTCCGACCTTTTTCGTTTGCTTTTGCTGGGGCCCGACGAGCCACTCAGGGAAGGTGACCGCTGAGAATGAGGCTCTTCTAGTTCATTAGCACTGTTGCCGCTCTCAGCGTTCCCGTTCCCCTGTATTTGTTCGTCGAGGCGAGATTGCGCATCTAAACCATTTCGTACGAAGACATCGGAGGATTCAACGGCGCAATCGGTAACAGCCGGTGTGGGCACAGATCCCGCAGTAACCGAGGGCTCTTTTCCGTTCACTGCAGTAAATCGAGAAGGGCTATGGTCCGCCCTGGGCGCTTTTTCGGTGTCTTGATCATTCATTACCGATGTAGAAGCCACTGTTGCCATGGTAAATGAACAGCTCAGTGTATGGATGGTTATAGATCAGCGCGGATGAAAGTTGAACTATCCGACATTTGCTTTGAGGACAACGCTCCTTGTACCCGATGATGATTACCGCCACTTACTGGCTAATGGACGATGGAATCGCTAGACGCGCCTGTCTGTATTTGCAAATTGCCCAATATAATCTTGTGAGTTATGTGCGCTGAATTGAATCATTTGTGGTCTCCAAACAAGCACATCAAATTCAGTCCCAAAGGGATGCAAGCTCAGGAAGCGGTGCAGGAGATTTGAAGCGGAAACATATGTCGTGCAAGTCGACTATGCTGAAAAGAGAGATAGAGAAGGCTATCGTAGTATTTGAATATCAGGTCACTTCCTAGTAAATAACTAGGTGACTTGTATGACTACCCCTAGGACTGTGCCACTAAAGAGGCCAATCTTGAGTTGTTGTTGGGCTGGGGGAATGCCCGGCAGTAGAGGCAAGGAAATAAGTGTTTAGCGCAGAAGTAGGAGCGAAAATGTTTTGGACATTGCAGGGAAGGTCGTGAAGAGAAAGGTGGGAAGAAGAGAGGAAAATAGAAAGCGCGTTCCTCGCTTTGGAAGTAAGAAAAATAAGAATAGAGGGAAGAATTGCAACTATGATGCGCAGAAGGTTACGTGAAGCGAGTAGAAATGCTAGATTAAGATGGTAGATTGAAATGGGGGAATGTCTGGCCGTCTCACATCAATTCGCCGGCATGGATTCAAGATAGGGCGGTTACTAAATAGAAAAGAGGGGAAAGGCGTCAAAGGAAAGAAGGAGGGGAAAGTGTAGTGGCCGTGGTCGTACTAGCAGTGGAGAGAAGATGGATAGGCAAACGATAACAATTATAGGTCAGCGAGTAGTATGTCGAAACGGACTCCTAGAACGAAATTTTTTGCCGCCTGCAGGTGGGAATCAAGAAACGAGGCATTTCACTAAGGAACCAATAGTACCTAGTTGCAAACCCCAGGAAAGAAAAAGGAAAGACGAGCAGCCGTAAGGAGGGGGGGCGGGAAGAAAAATAGTAATGTTAAAGAGGTAAACGACCAGGGGAGTCGAAGTACTAGCAGTACCTTAGTGGGATGGATGCACTGTAGAGTTGGAGTCGTTCATTGGGTGTCGTACATCCTGGCAGAAGGATGCGGCTGCCAGCTGGCTGCTGAGCACTCGACAGGATTGAAGTTGGCGCGCGATCGGCCATGAGCGGCGCGAAGCAAATGGTTGGCTACCACAACCCCGGCAAGCAGCTTCTGGTTGGTTGGACGTGAAGTTAAAAGACGCATGAGTTTGAGCGATGGCGCGCTCAGGCGACACGCCACCTTTGGGAGGGGGGAATCGACTCGCCTTGGTTCGGTGGCTTTTGCACTGCCGTCTGCTCTACCCGCGAGGGAAGCGCGGCACGGCGGCGGCGGAAAAGGTTCCTGGTGGGTCGAAGCGACCTGCGCGTTGACAGCCTGAAATGGTGGGTGTGGAACACGCTTACACAATAGCTCGGTCGCTTACCAGCGCTGCCTTTTCCCGCCAATTATTCGCCATTGGCGCAGGAGGGACGCGGTTGCGGTTAGTACGGCACAGCACCTGTCTGTTCTTCCCTCTTACCTACCGCGGAACCCCCTTCTTCCCCCCCCCCCCCTTCCCTCAAAAATGTCTGTGCTATCGTCCCGGAAATTTGAAATTGGCAAATCTCACTCACATTCTGATTTACCAGTGAACAATGGGTACTCTTTGAAAGCTGGGAAGTAATTATACTCCGTATTAGTAGGAGGAGCTCCCCTACCCCCTCTTTTATGAAGGGTGATGTACCCTATATCGTGACATGGTCAGCCACGCACATCATTCCATTCACATTGAAGTAAAATGTATCCCAGCTGTCCTTTGTACGTCGTTGAACAACAGTGTCCTAATCACCTCAAGTACCAATTATTAGCAATGTCGAAAAACTTAATCTGTTCTAAATTTGCCAAAAGTAACAGATGATTGATGGACAGATATTCTCAGCTTCTGGCTGTATTTTAAGTTATGTAATCTACTATAAAGTGACTGAAGGGTTGATTAGGTGCCATTGGTATCCTAGCACAAACCATCTGTCTTTTTTTATCCACTCATATCTCAATGTGGAAACAAAAGCCATATCCTAGAAAAAATCTCCATTTTTCTTAATTCTAGTTCAACTAGCCCTATGTTTAAATAGACTTTGAAGCAATATAATAGATTATAGGCCCATCCTTGGGACGCCTATGATATACGCAGCCTTACCACCCCCCAAGGTTGTCATATTCGGGCTCATCAAAACCGTAAACTCAGAAAACAATGATCTAATTACTATAAGCAAGCTCAACATACCTGGATCGATTCTGCACAAGGCCTGAAGACCTTTCATAATCGACATACTATGCAAAAATCTCCACATCGGTATTACCACTCCACAAGTATCCTGCATTGTGTAAACCTAGTAATGGAAGGAATAGGTGCCCTGTAGTCTAGGTATCTATTTCTATAGCTAGTACTGCAAATCCGGTAGTTAACTACTTAATGTGTTTACTTATAACTTCCTAACTACTAGCTATAGGTCAGAGCTCTAATTGATGACTAAGGCTAAATGGAGATACATCGCACCGGCCCGATAGAATAGCGCCAACAATCCGAGAGACGCGCTGTTCTCACCGCCAGTACTCCGTAGTACGCATTGTTTTTTTCCAGAAATATCCATATTCCAAAGCCAGAACTCTCATCATAAATTACAGCCACCGTACCCCACTTTACCAGCTGCTTCTCCAAGGCTGCTGCATCTTCAGGCAGGAGTTTGCTCCAAGCTCACCCTACCTCCGACGAACCCCTCCAAGGAAGCCTCTTACCCCGCCATATATTCTGCCAACCTATTCTTTCTTGCTACGCCGTCTCGTATCTACGGCCTTCTCTAGACCCTACTGAGTCTTCATCTAGACCTCGCTTGCTTGAATCGTCTATTGAAGGCCGAGGAGCGCAGCGTACAGTACTGTCAACTTCTGGAGCGGAATGTCTGTTTCCATACAAGAGTTGGACAACACAGTCCGGGCCTTCTATGAGGGCAAGGGAGATCTGGTATGTCGCAAGGAGCTGGGCGCTTATGACTTTCGATGTGTGTCCTCATAATTGGGATGTGAACTGACCTGGTATGCGACTCACAGCAAAAGCAAGCTCAGCAGACCCTGACGGAGGTGAGTGACCGAATTGCATAGCACATATCATTCATCTAGCTCTGACTTGTTTCCGGCGACCAGTTCAAGCAAAATCCGGATGCTTGGTTAATTGTGGGAAATATTCTCCAAGAATCAACATACCCACAGACAAAATGTGCGAGACGATGCCTCACTCTTTGCTGCAGACGGCCGTGCGCTGATAGAATCAGATCTTGCTCTCCAGGTCCTTGACGATGTGATTATGACGCGATGGAAGGTCTTACCCAGGGAGCAATGCCTAGGTGATTTCTTTAAGCTAACCTCGATTGTCAAACTATTCTAACATCCTCAGGTATTCGGAATTTTATTGTCAACTTCATCATCGAAAACTCGAAATCGGAGGACAAGCTAAGGAGTGAGCGAGCCTTCCTTAATAAGCTCAACCTGGTTCTCGTTTCCATCCTGAAACAAGAGTGGCCACATAACTGGCCAACTTTTATCAACGAAATCATCTCGTCTTGCCATACCAGCCTGTCCATCTGCGAGAATAACATGGCGATTCTTCGTCTACTATCCGAAGAAGTGTTTGACTTTTCCCAGGATCAAATGACTTCGGTCAAAGCGAGAAACTTGAAGACCTCAATGACGCAGGAGTTCTCGTCCATTTTCCAGCTATGTTCCGAGGTCTTGAACACGGCGAACCAGCCAAGTCTTGTCAAAGCTACGCTAGAGACTCTGCTTCGTTTCTTGAACTGGATTCCTTTAGGATATATCTTCGAAACTCCCATCATAAACACCCTGCTGACGCGGTTTCTGGATGTTCCTGAGTTCAGAAATGTCACACTCAAGTGCCTCACTGAAATCGGCGGGTTACAAATCGGCAACCCGTACAATTACGATGAAAGGCTGGTCCATATGTTCACAGAGACGCTGACTGCAGTTTCAAGAATCATCCCCTTGTCCATGGATTTGAAACAGACCTATGCTAAGAGCAACTCGAGGGACCAAGAGTTCGTTCTCAACCTGGCACTGTTTCTTTCTAGCTTTTTTAGCGCTCATCTGAATGTGAGTTCTCATGGCATAACAATCAGGTTCATGCTAACTCATCAAGCTGATCGAAAAATTGCCCAACCGTGACTACCTCACCCACGCCCATTTCTACCTCATTCGTATCAGTCAAATCGACGACAGGGAAGTCTTCAAGATCTGCCTGGAATATTGGACGAGACTAGTGCAAGAACTGTACGAAGAGATGCAGCAGCTTCCAATCACAGATATCAATCCTCTGGTGAGTATGGGTGTTAGCGGCCTGTCGAACGGAGGTGCACCGCATCCCAGCACGTTGGCCAACTATCCTCTCCGGAAACACAAGTACGAGGAGGTTTTATCAAGCCTTCGCACAGTCATGATTGAGAAGATGGTGCGTCCTGAGGAAGTCTTGATTGTTGAAAATGACGAAGGCGAAATTGTTCGCGAATTCGTTAAGGAAAGTGACACCATTCAACTTTACAAGACGATACGCGAATGCCTGGTCTATCTGACTCATCTGGATGTCGTCGACACAGAGAATATCATGATTGAAAAGTTAGCCAAGCAGGTTGACGGGTCCGAATGGTCCTGGGCCAATTGTAATACTCTCTGCTGGGCCATTGGCTCAATTTCCGGAGCCATGAATGAAGAGACCGAGAAGCGATTCCTGGTCAACGTCATCAAAGATCTCCTTGGTCTTACCGAAATGAAGCGTGGAAAGGACAACAAAGCCGTCGTGGCCAGTAATATCATGTACATTGTCGGACAGTATCCGAGATTCCTGAAAGCGCACTGGAAATTCTTGAAGACCGTGGTGAACAAGCTTTTCGAGTTCATGCATGAGACTCATGAAGGTGTGTTGCTGCCCTGCAGATGGAAAGTCATTAGCTAACCCAAACCAGGTGTTCAGGACATGGCTTGCGATACATTCATCAAGATTGCGAATAAATGCAGGCGGCATTTTGTTGCGCTTCAACCGGGGGAGAACGAACCATTCATTGAGGAAATCGTTCGCAATATGAGGAAAATTACTTGTGATCTTTCTCCTCAGCAGGTCCACACTTTCTACGAAGCCTGTGGCTACATGATCTCGGCACAAGGCCAAAAGGGCCTCCAGGACCGACTGATTGAAAATTTGATGTCCCTGCCTAACTCAGCCTGGGATGCCATCATAGTGCAGGCAAACCAGAACCCCGCTATACTTCAAGATGGCGAGACGATAAAAATCATCGGAAATATTATGAAGACGAATGTCGCAGCATGTTCCTCTGTGGGCACTTACTTCTATTCCCAGCTTGGACGGATTTATCATGACATGCTCAATATGTTCCGTGCCTCCAGCCAGCTTATCAGTGACGCTGTAGCGCATGATGGTAAGGATGTCTTCTTCTGTCCCCGCCACACTCTTACCTCTCGTCATTCCCGTTTCACTTCACCCCTTATGCAGCGAGCATGTCAGTTGTTAGGGCTTTCTGACCATTACATAGGCAATATTGCAACGAAGACCCCGAAAGTCCGGGGTCTAAGGACGATCAAGAAGGAAATACTGAAGCTCATCGATACCTATGTGCAGAAAGCCGACGACCTGGAAATGGTAAATGCAAACATGGTCCCTCCGCTCCTGGAGGCCGTTCTCGTCGACTACAATCGCAATGTCCCTGACGCGCGTGAGGCGGAGGTCTTGAACGTCATGACGACGATTATTCACAAGTTACACGTACGCCAGCCCCACTAGATGACATTGAAGCCTTGCAGGATTGATATGAAGCTGACATGTGATATCCAGAATCTGATGGAAGACAAAGTCCCCTTGATAATGGAGAGCGTCTTTGAATGCACACTAGGAATGATCAACAAAGACTTCCATGACTATCCAGAGCACCGTGTCCAGTTCTTCAAGTTGATTCAAGCTATCAACTTGTACTGTTTCCCGGCATTGCTCAAGCTCGATGCTACGCAATTCAAGTTTGTCATCGACTCTTGCATGTGGGCCAGCAAACACGACAATCGTGAAGTCGAGAATACAGGTCTCACAATGTGCCTTGAGCTCATGAACAACATGGCCGACACTGATGCTCAGACCTCAAATATTTTCTTCCAACAGTTTTACATTCCTATCTTGCAGGATGTATTCTTTGTCCTGACAGACAGTGATCATAAAGCCGGTATGTAGTCTAGTTCCTGTAGACAGAAGTGTGCTAATGTCTATTATAACAGGGTTCAAATCACAGGCCATGTTATTGTCGCGCATGTTCTACTTCATTGAGTCTGGCAAAGTGCAAAACCCGATTTATTCTCCTGAGCAGGCACCCTTAGGGACATCCAACAAGGATTTCTTGCAGGAATATGTCGCGAATCTCCTACAAACTGCTTTCAAGAATCTCCAGGAGTACGTTCTACCCGATCATGAGGAGCATATGAGCCGAAGGAAACCGAATGATTGGCTAATATTTTCCCAGAATCCAAATCAAACAATTTGTTGTTGGCTTGTTTGCATTCAATGACGACTTTAACAAGTTCAAGACGCACCTGCGTGATTTCTTGATATCACTGAAGGAGTTCTCCGGTGATAACGCAGACTTGTATGCGGAAGAAAGGGAGCAAGCCTTGCGGGATGCTAAAGCCGCTGAACGAGACCGAGCAATGAGGGTAGGTGGTCTTTTGAAGCCATCCGAAATGGATCAAGAGGATGAGCTATGACTGGACAAGGAACTGCGTTCCGAAGTTGCGCTATCAACTGCCGATACCACAGCGCATGACAATGATCCCAGGTCTTTATCGGCAAGTGACTGGTTTGATGGCTGGTCATGTTATGGACTCTAAGTTTGAACTAATTGCCATTTAACGAACAAGAAATTATCAGTGCGTATTGGGTTTCTTCCATCATATGGTCCTCATGTAAAGTCAGTCTTGGTGCTTCCAGAGCGCAGCGCGATATTCGTCCGCTCCTTCCTTCGTGCCTTCCCTCAACAATCAATTTGCAGTGACAACATATTTGAATCTTTCCACCCAACGGAATAAAAAAAAGAGAGAGAAAGAAAGAAAGAAAAGATAAGAAAAGACCAGTGGCCTGTTTAAAGGTAGCCAGGCGCTGCGGTGACAAGGTCGTAGAAATTCCAAAAGGGAGCAAGAGGTAATGGAACATAGATATATTCTCTCGGAGGTGGCCATTCAACTACAAAGAGGTCATTCTACTTAAGGAATAGTCTAGTAGTATCCAGAACAAAGAACAAGCATTCATTATTCTACCCATAAATTATTGTTGTGCAAGTAAACCCCAACGTCTATCAGTAGTAGTAGTTGAGCGCGTACCAGAAGCGAAAAGGCGGTGTGAGGCCGGCCTCTTGCTGTGATGCATCTCCGTCAGAAGCAAACCCCATTTATCTGAACGCTCTAATGGTCCAAGAGACATTTTAGCCCCCACGATAATAAACTTTGTCCCATAACAGCATCAGGACGCCTCTCCGGAGACGGAGTTGCGCCAAAATTGAATTTTATTACCATGTCTCGGACTCGCCAAATACCGTCTGAGCCAGCAAGTAGTTCTCAACTGGAATTGACAGAGGAGCATACCAACATTTCGTCAGCTATTCCAGGTCCAGCAACACTTAGGTTAAGAGCAGCAGATGAGCCTGCTGCTAACCGGCCCGAAATGAATGAGGGCATCTCCCGACGTATACGCTGGAGTGAAGATGTCATAGATAACGAAGGAATGGGAAAAAAGAGTTCCAAAGGTAATCCTTCCCTAGCCAGTGGATTCTCCGAAACTGTGCTCACATATCGCAGTGTGCTGCATCTATCACAAAAGCCGACCTATTGGCGATAGTAGCTCCGAGTCCGAATCCTCGGACTCCAGTACTTCTAATTCGGACACAGATAGCGACGGCGAAGCGGCCTGCCATAGAAGGACGGGACACCGCCCGCCTACAGGGCAGGGAGAAGACTATGCTTCTTCTGGTCAGAGGCCTCCATCGAACAGAGAAGGAAGAACCTGCCGATCAAGTCACCGAACGAGGAAAACGAAACGAAAGCCAAGCCCAAATGCCTATGAGAAAATGCCAAAGACTACGAAGGGCCGTTAAAATATTCGAGACCTTTCGCAGACTAACGCTGTGATTCATCCTCAGTATCCAGCAGTTAAGGTCTCCCACAATAGTGTTTGTTATATGCCATGAGAGGAATTATTTTAATCACATGCAATGCGATAACGACATCAATTGATACGCCCCATCAAATCTGCATTCTCAGTATCGTCCAAATGGAAACCCACACTGACTATCAAGGTCAGCCTTTTCTTACCTGTCCTCTGAGCGTCCTTGGATAGCACGGATGTCTCATAGTACTTCTTCTAGCATGATTTCTCAAGACGGGTTTGCCCAGGTTATCTATACAATACACGTAAATATTACTGGGTGGTTGAAGATGGTGCAGGACATCAGACTTATTTCAGAAGGCTTGCTGGAATCTGTACAGAACTAGAAAGCGAATAAAGGGAATGAATGGATGAGGGGACAATCAAAGAAAGAAGTGGTAATGCTGTGATCATAAAGGGTGAGCCGATTGTAGACTCCGTTTATCAACAACTATGAATGAAGTATATTTCACAGCATCATGCTTTTTCTTCTAGCCATAGCAGCCGCGGCACGTTGCCCGCGCTTAGTCCGCCCTGAATCGGCCAGCCTCGAAGTAGACAAGTCTGCTCCAGTACTCGGTTCTGGTTGCTGTGTAGGAAGGCTCGGTTTGACGAATTCTTCAAGGGATCTTGTCGAGTGTGAATTACCTGCATGGGCCTCTGATGGAGAGTCATCTCGGCTGCCTATGCCTATATAGCCGTTGTTTGCTGGTTGAAGTTCACCTTTTCTGGATGACTCGGGCTGCGAGGAATGCCGTCTAGAATTCCGAGCTGAAGCAGGTCTGGCCTTGCACCCAATAGGGGGGACGTTCCTCGTAACATCATTACCAACCATCTGTGACGGCTGCGTCTGACAATTGCCATCTTCGGCCATTACTTCATCGACTTTACTACTCCCAGCCACCCAGTGATTAGGATATGCCCCTGTAGACTCGTAAATGCCTTCAGGTGTCATATCGCACTTGCTTGCCGGAGAAGTCTTCCGTTTCCTCTGAGATACCGAGTTCATTTGCTGGGTGGATGAATCTGCTGCTGCCTCTGTCGTCGATAATCTAGGTTCTTTGCCTGAAGAATCCGAGTTTCGCGGTCTTCGACCATTCGATCGCCCATTCTTGTGCAGGTCCTCATCCTCGTTCGAAACCAGCCGTGCATTGAGAGAGCTAGAGCTTCGTCTTGGGTGATCGCCAACTGCTGCTATCAATTCCTTCGTAGGTCGCCTCATCTTGTCTCGTAAATTTGGCTCCGCATAGCTCACAATGGCTCTCTGACGCCTGGAAGGCCTTGTTGGGCCGGACACCTCAGGCAAATTCCTTGGTCCGCTCTCAGTTTCTGGTAGCGTCGGCGACTGCGTGTTGGGTTGGGATTTAACCATGGGATTTTCGTTATATTTCTCTTCATCTGTGGACTGATAGATTTGACTCTGTCCAGGCGTCAACTCTTGCCTCGACTGCTCGAGATCCGTGCTTTTTTCGGGGGGTGTTGGGGACAACCCAACTTGCCCATCCTTTTCGTCGACGGAGGATAATGTGCCTTTCTGGTGCTTCTCTTGCGCCATTGTAGTATGTGCTTTCGTTGGGCTGGTCACATTCATGTTCGTGCTTCCTACATCATCATTAGCTGATAAAATCTCAGTATTGCGGTGGCACGGCACAGCACATACTATGCTCCAATGCTTTCCGTTTTGCCAACCTGTGACTCATTGCCTCTTCTATCAAAAGCGATGCCTTCCCTCTCGATGGGCTATCATCAGCCTCTGAAGACAGCGACTGCTCGTTGTTGCCCACCGGTGAAGGTGACTGCATGCTTGTCCATGGAGCGTCGGATTTTCTCGATAACGATTCTATTGTGTCTTCGTGATGCACCGAAAATTTGCGCTTGGCTCCTGGGCCAAAGATAGCCCCAGGGATGTTTCGTTTCGAGGTTGCCCCGTGATCCATGCTAGGACTTTCCACTTGCTTTGATGCTAAGTTGGGCCTTTTTCTTTTCCTGGTTTCAAGAGTTGGGGGCAAAACTGCCTCGTCCTCGTCCGATATGTGCTCGTCGTGTCTTGGTGCCTGCTGCGCATTCATGATATCGGAAGAATCATTCGTAGAGGAGCTGTCGTCCGCTGTGTCTGGCTGCGTGGCTACAGGTTCTTCCGGAGTGGGAGATCGCAGATTATCGGCAGTGTTATATCGGATATCTTGCAGCTCTTGCGGCCTGTTCATGGTAAGCATTGAAAATTTAAGGCTCGGGGTTTCGTCTTTTCCTTACTCTAATGTTCTTCTGGGGTAATATTTGTCTTCCAGGATGACAGGAAGCCTTCCGTCTTCGTCTTTCCCATGATTGAGCTCATCATCAGCAGCCTTCGGTTTCCAATCCGGCAGTGCCCGATGTTGGCTCGAATCTCGAGGATTCTCTGCACATTTGCTGTAGAACGTGCGGGGTAGTGCGCCAAGGTCAGCCACCAGGTTGTTCAGCTCCGCCAACTTGCTGTCTAGTCTCGTCTTGATGTCGTAAACACCATGCTGGAGTAGCCGGACGGCCTCGAATCTCTCTACCTCCTGGCTAAGACTTATTACTTGCTCCCGAAGCGAAACATTTTCTGAGAGGAGATGAGAGACTTCAGATTCCAGGCTGCGAATGCGGAGGGACTGTATCGAGTTTACTCGGGCGATCTCACGATTCTGTCGCACAAACCGTCGTTTTACTGATGTGGCGCTAGAGTCAGCTTCAGTAAATTCCCAGCGGGGAGGGGTTGCGGTGCTTACAGGCCTCTATGTGCTCTGTTGGAGCTGACGATTCATTTAAGCGAGCCATACCCGGCATAAGGAGGCAAGACTGCGGTCAATTCCTCGGCAGTCAATCACCCAGGGACCAGGTATATCAGAAGTAGCAAAGGCAGCCAGTATCCACACTTATTCCGTATTGTAGATAGTATCTCGCCTCCTTATCCGAATTAACCGGTGAGTAAACAAGAGTGGGTGGATGTGGCCCCGTGATAGTTGACAAACGCGGGTTGGTTGTTGACAAATGCCCTTATCGGGACTAGTGTGATTGCTGTCGGTCTGCGACCGCTCAAATGGTGCATCATAATAATGATTGAAGCTAGCCGCAATGAATCATTCACATATTACCTTTCAGTTTATCATCTAGCCGCAGCTCCCTTTAAAAACCGACATTCTCTTGTAATACAGCTCTTCATTAAATCTACAAGCCACAACTGCAGTCATACCAACTAGCGTGCAGTCTGTGCAGCCCGCGTCTTTCACTATTCACTATCCGTTAATATACCCCGCCTCTATTGACTTCAAAGAGGGTCAGACATCTACAAACCGCCGCCAGTAGCAACAAATCTTCTACATCATGGCATACATGTCTCGCACTGCTTCCATGCTCCCTCCCGGATCCTCGGCCACATCCTCGTTTCGTCAGCCAAACCAACAATCTACAACAATCTCACAGCAACAGTCTTCGGTCCTAGCATCCCGCATTGCAGCAAAAAGGGCTGAACTAGAAAATCTGAGGCAGCTTCGTGATATGAGTGCAGCACTGGCCTCGCAGATGCAGGTTTTACAGGACAAGCTTGGGACCCTCAAGGATGGCACAGAAGGTTTGTCAATTCAAAATATCATGGTGGAGTATGTCCTGATTGACTCTCGTGTTGGCTGTAGCTTTCGCGTGTGTCCTTGCAAACTGGGATAATGTACTGCGGGCCATCAGCATGGCCTCGAGTAAGTTTGCTCTCTAATGTAGATTTGCTCTCAAACGATGCTGATCAAATTTAAAGCGAAAGCCGCGAACTTGAACTTACCGATGGAACACACACCAGATTCAACTACCAAAAGACTACCGAATGGCTCACCTATGCCTGCTACTCTGGTACGGATCCCCGTTTCAAAGCAGGAAGAGCCTCCTAGCCAGTGAATCACTGTGTACAAGATATTGGCTCTTGGCTCGGGACATGCATATTTTGCATCCACAGACGTCCTTTGGCAGGTAACACAGTGCCTGTGGACGGGGTCAGACTCTCATTGGCTTAGCAGGTGAGCCGTTATTTGGATGGTCGAGTATAGCAACGGGGTCCACAGGAATATCATTTACAAGGAGGCCGGGATGCTGCCTACATGGAATCACAAACTACGCGCTGGACGTCGTGGATGTTCTTGGTCATCTCTGGCATTGTCTGAAGCGGCGGTATTGGATGCAGAGAGTTCCAGTTGTTTGTGGTAGCGGGCATCTGGCGCAGGATGGGGGGAAGGGGGTTGCTTTCTGGTTGCAAAATGAGCCTCTCCTGGGACTGTCGGAATATCGCGCGGGGGAACAGTACCTGAGGATAGGTTATTCTACCTAAAGGGGCAGTTGTCCGTCAGGTCTAATCCGTCGGTGGAAAGTTGGGGATAGCCAGCATATCAAGGGATGATACGGATATTTTTCTCGCATACTCCATGCCAGTTTATATTTCCGCCGTGACTGTTTCCTCTTCTGAGTGATAAGCAGGGGCTCTCTCCTTGACGGATAGGTATGCACGGGTTACGGTCCAGGGAATTAGAAGGGCTTTGTCGATCAGTCTGGCGCCAAATATGGCTTCCAGTGGGCTGCTTACATCAACGCCCAGTAGTTTGCTGGGAATCGCGCATGCGTTGTCGAGCTCGATTTAATAAAAAGGGGTCACCCATCTGGTCTCAGCAGAAGACATGTCCGTTTCATCTCTCCGTGGGCCTACCGTAGAGACTGTTGTTGTGTTCAGCTCACATCTGCCATGATACGGGTTTGTTCACTAAAAGTGTGCGAAGGCAAACAACATCAATTTTATTTTGGAGGTTTTGATCTTGGGAATCCCGTTGATATCTCTTGTGTCCTTCGAATTATACCTACTCAGAGAACTTGAACCCGCGTGGTTATGATGAGATAACATATTACAATGGTGGTTTCCTGCTGTTGTTGGATTAAGTCATTGTACTTTGCAGTTTGGATACGGATTCGAGTGCGCTCTAAGAATTTGGGGGGGGGGGGGGGGGGGGAAAGAAAAGAAAAGAAAAATTTTGAGTAAAAAAATGGAGCTGCGGGGAATCGAACCCCGGACCTCTCCCATGCTAAGGGAATATTATACCACTAAACCACAGCCCCCTCTTATATATACTCGGAGTTTTATTTTACCTATATGACGTACTTTGTTCTTCTGCAGAAAGTTACGCTTGCTGCAATGATTATAATCGCAAGACATCATTAATACCTTAGCTGGACTGTATCCTATCTATCCACGATTTCATATACATGCTCGGTGCATACATCATTCAACGCGTATACCGCATTCTTACGGAACACCAAAAGATATAGTCAAAAATACCAAAAAATGGAGTTGCGGGGAATCGAACCCCGGACCTCTCCCATGCTAAGGGAATATTATACCACTAAACCACAACCCCTTTATAGTGTACTTTGCCAAAGTAAAGGCCATATAGTCCACTAACGCTGTACGCACGGTAATCACTGATATCAATATATATACTTCCAAAGCTTAGCCCAACCCCAGACACGTGGATGATCTCGGTTGCAATCAGTAACATCCATCAACTACCTAGTTACGTATGTGATAAATCAGGTGAAGTCTTATGGTACAATCTCCTGCCACGGTTTCCTATGGTTTCCGGGAAGTGGCCAGTTGGGTATCCAAGCAATTAACCGTCAGGAATCAAGAGCTACCTTATCAATTTCCTTTATACATTCACACCACCTAGTTCTGACCGGCAGTGTTATGTGCGTGATAGAGTCAGGTACCTCTCTTTGAGCACCTCTACCTAGTAGGTCTGTCTGCCTAGATGAACCTATACATGATACGCGTCCCAAGCTCCTGGGCTTGAGGTCCGGGCTCTCCATTGGATGGCCGCGCGGTTGGCTTGTTTGCAGTAACTGGGTCGTCTACTCCTGACGCGCACTGGGGGCGGGTTCTGGGAGTGTTGGTTTGGGGTGACATCAAATTGGTTTTTGGTCGGCGATAACGTACTGGCAAGTTCATGGTAGAAATATATATCTACTACGTGTGTCAACAGTGGACGATACGAGCTACCATATCATACTGCCTGTCCCCTTTAAATGGGAGAAAAGTATACATGGTACCGAGAAAAAACCCCAAGCAGGAAGAAATTGCTAGACCACACTACCCTATTTCCAGATATCACGACAAGACGTCAACCTAGCAGAGGAATAGACACAAGTACCAAGTATTGCTATTCACACGCTGGGAAGCTGGTAGACTCACTTGGTAATCGCAGACAAGGGACTGCCATCGGGATCTTTTTTATCGAGCCTGCAATAAAGCAATGGTCGCCCGTGGCAAGAGTCCTACACTTCGATGAGAGCTTTAAGAATGTGTTCAGCTCCAATCCTTCGTGACACCTGCATATATTGAATGTCTTCCGGAGGGCCAAAGCACCGACTAAAACATAACCCGCAGCACAACCCCACAGTACCTGCTTTAGCTTGAACATCTCACTCAGCACATCATTGAGTACACTTAAAATCAAACAAGAGGATTCAGTTCCTAGATATATTCCACAAACAACCAATATGGGGCTGTGGTTTAGTGGTATAATATTCCCTTAGCATGGGAGAGGTCCGGGGTTCGATTCCCCGCAGCTCCATTTTTGCCCATTTTCTTTTTTCCATACTCGTCAATCAATCGACAATGGGAATGTGACTCTCCATGTATAGTATAGACGCCTACACACGCCCTCTTGAGACTTCAACACTAGATGAAATTTTGCACGAAGGCACTGGGATACTGCTTCATAGACATCAAGCCCACACTCCTGTGTTTCAAAACATCCATTGGGGCTTGAGACCCATTAGATAGAAGTTGCTATTGGTGTCTTAATTGTATCTATCCATCGCCTGGCTCCAAGGTACAGTCCCTGGTCACCAGTATACAAAATTCTCAGGCCCGTATTGAATAGGCAACCTCTATACCCTGGCTATATTAGGACACAGCTTAACAATAGGATATCGATCAATACACTTGCTGCTTGGATGATTCAAATAGGTCAGGACTGGTAAAATGAACACGACACCTTCATACTTAGCATTTCCATGCCATCTGATGTACCCTTTAGATTTGCGATGTGATCGAAAGACATCGTGTTAGCTGGGGCTGGGGGAAAGGGGGTGACCAAGAGGTTGCGTCGCAGGACATTCCAGCTCGTTCTCACACGGGCAAACTACGGGGTGGTTTGGAATAAACTAAGTAGGTTCGACGCCTGCTGCTTGCCATGTGCAGAGCCTCTGTACGCAATGGGCGGGTAGGGCGGAGAAGGCAAGAACTGATGTTGTGTCTGCGATTGTATGGATTTGGCTCCTTGCTGCCACGCCAAGACACACTCTGTCGGCATACATATCTCATGTAGCCTACTGTTTACAGGCAAGACAATATAGTTACTCCTATGTCTTGACATACGCGGGCCGGCTCATTGCTGGTGACAATCCCAGCAAGATCTTATGGGTGTATGTATATACGAGTGATATAATATCTTCCCATAACCAGTGAGTACCATCACGGAGCAATACTAGTCAGTTACTGTACAGCAAGGATAATTGTGGGAGGAGCTGCTGACGTTGTGAGCATGACCACCACCATAGTGACCTCGAAGGAATGTATTATCTGATGGTCCAACCATAAGTGCCGTTTGGTGTAGATTGACCAGTGACTACAGCAGGTGCTCGAATTAGAATGCGCTGGGGCCACCAGCAACCGTGCAGGTAAAAGCCAGCTAGGCCAAGATAGGCAATAGACTACTGCAACTAGGAAGGGATGGGGCAAAAGGTTAGCCACCGGTCACCCCCTCTTTTTACTCCACTTGGCCTGCCTTAAACATGATAATGATAATAATAATAATCATCATAAGGAAAGGCAGGTATCGTATCGGGTACCTCGAGAGTCGATAAATACCTAATACTTATCTTGTTACAGTAACAGTAACAGCAGCAGCAGCAGCGGTAGTCAAGTTAATATAGTAACTTGCTTACAATGATTTACACTGTGGTACAGTGGTGAGTGGCACATACTAGTTAGTATGTTACGATATACCAGGGACTTTCAAGAGAGACCATTTACCATACACATCATAGGTAAGGTATTGTCCCGTAAGTCCCTGGATAAGCCCAAACACGTTCGAAATTATCAGCGAGAACTGAACAATGCTCCGTACTAGCTCAATGTAGGTATGCTCTATTGGGGATAAGTTTTGGGTAGAGACTAGTATTGCAATCTACCCGTAAACCCTACAACGCCGTGTCTCCTGGAGATTGGGCCATGCTCTCCCACCCCCCCTCTTTCCCCTAAAGGGGCTGTGTGCATGTCACTGGCGTCTTTGGGGCATTTACCTACCCATATATATATATATATATAATACTTAATATGTAGAAGCCAGTCCCTCCCCCCAATAGTTCCCCGTCATTTACGTCTGACTTGGCCCTGTGCGGACTGCGTGACCTGGAGGCTATGCTACAACACACTGGATGAAGAACCCGTTCCGTATCCCTTCCCATTCCATCACAACAATAACCCTTCCATTCACCTCAGATATCTCATCGGTTGTCATCTGACATAGATCTGGATCCACCGGCTTTGATCTACCCTCACGTCCTTGGGTAGGTCCCTTTGCTAGTGGGGTGGCCTTGCGTGACCCTCCTGTTTCGCAAGAATGAGACCGAAGTGGATTATTATGGTGTGATGGCCTTAACCTTTTCATATATAATGAACCTCCACACCAATTTTCCATCACATCTGCTAGCTCTTCTCACGCTCTTCCCCCACTCGAACAAGAAGTCACTCAATGCTAACCAAAAAGAAAAAGCATTATCAGCAGTAGTAACCATTCTCATTCACGGAACAAGAGGCCGACTAGCAACCCTCAAATATCGCTATCCGAAGCGCATTCGATTACCCCATATTTGGTGACATGTCATCGGGACAACAGTCCCTAGTCCTGTATTCATACTCCACAGCCCATATATACAAAGTTCTTCAACCTTGTCCCCAACGCCATCCCCTTCTGTTGCCTCTTTGTGAGGACCAGCCAATATGGCAACTGAATGGTCGCTTGACTTCTGCCTTGCTTGTGACCGTCAGACCCTAGGGGAACCATATTGCTCCCAAGCCTGCAGGCTGGCTGAGCTGGATACCGTCTCGAAGGAGGCGACAGCACCTCATGCGATCGTGTGTCCACAACCAACTAGGGCCCCCAGACAAGCTGGGCGTTCTGTGACCGGATCTTTCGTAACAACGGGAACGGCGCCGGCGGGATCATCTGGTTCCCAATACCCCAAAAGGGTACTATCGCCATCTTCTTCGCAGACATCACTGTCGTCGGTCAAGAGCAGCTCATCACGGTCCTTCGTGGTAGCAAGTCAATTCAAAAACGAGTTACGGGATTATGCATGCAGCTTCGACCACGTCCGTGACTTGAAAAGACGTTTCGCATCTTAGCGCCCTATGATTACAACCAGATCTATTCTCCATGAGCACCATTGTATCGAAGCAATGGTGGCTATTGTGGACAAAACCCACGGACCCCTCGCACTTCAGCAGCCTAATCCAGTATCACCTCCCATTCCCAAGAGAACCATTCATTGATTGTCATATCCTTTTTATTACGAGAGCTATATACCCAGCATTAATTATACCATCAGGCCATCCTGGGCAACATGCATACCCAAATAAGCCTGCAGTGTGGCATTCGGCGTGAGGAAGCACAGAAATCAGTCAGGCATGGAAGGGAAGGGAAGGTAGTGGGAGAGGGAATAAGCAATGACGGGCAAGGGGTGGGATGGGCCAGAGAAGGAAAGTACATAGGGGAGACAGTGATGGAAAGTAAGTGGGACCAGAAATGAAAGTAATACAATGGCATCAAGGTGCCGATCCGCGGCAGATCGGAGCAGAAGCCCGGTTTTATGTCCTTCAATTGCAATCATTGTAAGCTGTCACCGCACGCGTATGGCGACGACATCAAGCATAATCTGCGATAACTCCAACAGGAGTATTGCTAAGCTACAATCCTACATGGTCCACAATTCGGAGGGTTTGAAGAAAATGCCCGGATATAGGGGATCGCTATAGAATACTCAAGCCCGACTGATGTTCTTAGCATCTCCACTGAGGTGAGCATTCTCCCCTTCGTAGTGTACTGAGGTTCAGAGGCACAAGCTAATTACTATACCCAGCTTCCGTCCAGTAAAAAGATCATACACAACATCACATCATTTCTTCGCTTCACCCTCCCAATACAGACCATAAATCAGATTTGCCAATTACCGGCCCAGTGCTGTCGCGAGTGCTTTTTCATCTCTTGGAACGAATCGAACCTTATACTTTTGGGGGATTGCCACAAGACTTGTAGGGTCTGAATTGCCCCGAACAGGATGCCAGTCAGTCTCACCAAGTGGCTCGATTCGGAAACCATTTAGTGTGCGCATGAAGACAAGATAGAGTTCACGATTCGCGAGTAGTGAGCCAGCGCACATGCGATAGCCCATGCCATAGGTGAAAAGAGGAGCGTCTGGTTGCTCGAGCCATCTTTCTGGCCGGAACTCCTCGGGGTCGCTCCAGACTTCGGGGTCTACGTGATGATGCATTAGCCGATAATTGCAAAGTATTACGATCGTTCATCGAGCGACAACCTACCCATGTTGCAGGCCCAGGAGTTCAAGAAGAATACTGTGCCCTTAGGGATCACTATTCCATTGTACACCACGTCTCTAATCGAAGTCCGGGGAAGCGCGAGACGAAGGACTGTAAAATACCTGTATATAACCACTTAGCGTACCGGAACTCTGAGCTTGGGGTCCAGTTCTCAAGCTGTACCTTAGGCATTCTCTAACCAGGGCTGCAACGTAGGCACATTTCTGATCATCCATGGGATCGCACAAGGGCTGGTCATGCCCATACATATCTTGTATCGCGTTTGCGGCCTTCTCCTGGATATCAGGCCGCTGGGAAAGAAGGCCAATACTCCAAGCCACAAGGGTCGTGACTGTGTCGAGACCTCCAGAAAGCATGGTCAAGCTGATTGATATGAGCTCTTCAGAGTTCAGTTTGGCCTCTTTGTCGAAAATAACGTTTGCCTGGATGCATGGTTTATGAATGCCTTTCTCCATGCGGTCATCCAAGTCTCGGTTTAGAGCGGTGAGATACCGATCACGTCGATCCCTCATTTCTTTGGCAACTTTTGAGTTGCTATTGAATGGGTTTAGTCGTAAAAGAGGAATGTAGTCCTGCAGGTTGCCAGTGGTGCTTCTGAACTTGCTGATCTCTTCCTCGACGTGGGTGATCTCGGCAAATAGGTCTTCTTCTTGAGAGGCCACACGTACGCCCCAATTGAGAGTCAAGGACAAACTCAAGCTTAGACGCTGGATCATTGGCATAGGATCCACTGGTTTTTCGCCACCATTTCCATACCTGTAGAGCTCATCCACGAAAGATCTGGACTCGACATCTAGGTGCGAGATGTATGATTCTACAGAAGGACGATTGAGGGCTGAAGCGGCACCTTTTCTGCGTCTCTTAAGTGACTCACTATATGGGGAAGTCCCGATTGTTGTGCCAGCAGTATTTGATACAATCTGATGCATGATTGTGAGCTATAACCCACTGACAAAGGAAAGAAATAGAGGCAAGGATAGAGAAAGCCTAGGGAAGCATGCTGCCTGGAGCTTACCTTGTGGAAAGTATAGAATTCCGGTCTTGAACTCAGAGCTTGTGCATTGTGTCCAAAAAGAACTTTTGCCGCCGCCGCCGAATTCACGACAACAACTGGAATATTTCCCAGCTGGATTTGATAAACGGGCCCGTGCGTTTTAGACCATATGCGATATTGTTCGGCGGCATTTTTCCGGATTTGAGCAAGGTTTCCGATCAGAGGAAGACCACGGGGGCCTTTAAGACCAGGTACTCGGGCGGAAGCTCGAATAAATTCGTTAATGATAATATAGACAATTGGGACAATGAAGGCGGTTGCAGCCAATGACTGCAACGGAGATTCGAGAATGCTTTGCTGCAGGAATGAAAGAACTGCTGCGACGGCCATGATGGACGAACTGTGTTTCTTGCTTGGTGATATAGTAGCCAAGTAGATAAGGAAGATGTTTAGCTGACGCTGGGCAGGTCGACTGAATATAACGCAGCATCATATGCCCTGGTGCACATGTGATACGTCCCGGAGTCGCCATCCCTCCCCTCTCACGGGAAGGAACATTTCCGTCACCAGGAAGTGAGGGACATTGGTAGCTAACGTAGTTCTACCCCAGGTTCCGGTGTCCAAAAACCTGGGGGTGGGGGTCAGGGGAGGAGTGGAAGCAACCGAGAAGATTCCGCAGCCGGAACGTTTCCGCTTCTCAAGGTCAATACAGTCGATTTACTCTATATCCCTTACGACATGGACCTCGGTTGCTGCCATGGTAGTTTAGGCATAGATCTGGCCTTCCTTTGTACCAACTGCGGTATATATTTACTAGTAGTTATTCCTTAACTTTGATATCGGAGGTTGGCCGTGATTATACTTGTCCATATAAAGCAGAATGTACCTCCACGCAGTGGGCGGCCTAGCATTCCCAAGCCATTGTTTTGTTGTTTTAAGTCTTATACAAATTCATTTCAGAACATGAGAGGACAGTGTTTTGACTGAATATACTACTACTTCTTATCAATTGTAGGTTTGAGGATATGAGTTAGTATATCTTTTTTATCATCTTCCCTCACCCCTTTCTTCACATTTCCTTTTCTACTCTCATTGGCTGCCTTCTTCTCTAATGCTCGCATCTATTTGCCTTTATCTCCACAAGAATTGGACAGCTTTTTCTTTGCCCACAACATTCCAAAAGTGTATTTCTTGATAAGAAACATCGTCTTATATGATGCCAAGAAATAAAAGAAAGAAAAAAAAAAGGAAAAAAGTATAGGTTGATATGAGTACGGTCATGTGCTTCAGAAGAAAGGAAAAATTAACTGGAATACCGGATGATTGATGGTGTGGCTTTAAGTACGGAGTTGCTACTGACCGATGAAGAAGGGACAGGGTCTATTGAAGACTAGACTGCATGAGTCCTCCTTGGCAGCGGGAGTTATTTGCGGAGACAAAAATAAATGCAGTGGATGTGAGATATCTAGTAGTCTACTACTACTACTACTACTACTAGTCTATTTACTTTCTACTTATGCACAGACAAATGCGACGGCCTTTGACCCACTCTCCAAGCCGATCGGGAAAATCAGGTGGATGTTTGGGTTGGTAAACTGGCTGACCGGTCGCATTGAATCACTGCGCGCTCCACCAAAAGAATTAGAAGAGGGGTAGCGAAGCGGAGGATTCTATCATGATCGACACGAAAAGCTGGATGGAAGGGGAAGCAGGGTCACAGTACAAGACTGATCTAGTCGGGTACGGAGTTTAGACACCGTCAAGTCCTGGGAAGGTTGACGTAGGGCGGTGGGACTCGCACTCGCACAGCAGGTGAAATATATCTAGTTTATGTACACCCCCAACCAAGAAATCAAGTCCCGCTTGCTTCCATGGAAGAGCGAGGGAAGCGCATTCATCTCCAAGATGCCTACTTACCCGAGCTCATCCACCAAAATATTAGGGATTACGCCATTCAGGTGGGGAGTGTGTGACCACCGGCGACGCTACTAATCTATGCCCAGTTGTCCACAGTACATCAATCAAAAAAGTATACTTGATCACATAATACTTCAATGTTACGACAAAGTCCTTTAGATAACTATCAAAGTATGTTATGAGTATATGTACAGTATGTATTCAGTCTATACCCGCTCAGGGTCTGGGCTGGGCTGGGCAAGTGGAGAAAATGAACCCCGACAAACAAGGACACTTAACCCTTTCTTTGTTGACTGCTGTACTCACATAGTAGACAACGATGAATGATCATTATCATTCACTCCTTCACTCCCCCTTTCCTGTATTAGTATTGTAGAAAGCATCGCATTAAGAGAAACACTGTATAGATAATAAGCCAAGTGAGCAGTTAGCACGACCAAATCTTATATGCATTGATTGATATAATCCTTCCCCCATACTTCAGTTTTGCAGTACGAAGCAATAACTAGCAGGTAGTATGTATATATGCTGTTATGTTATGTGGCACCTACTGTATGTATTGTACACATATAAGCGTTGAGATCCAACCAGGGATGATCATTGTGCCAAGACAGAAGACTTTAGACAGGTCTAGGTATCCTAGAATAGACGGAAGATCCGCAATGAAAACGTGGGTAGGTCGCGTGATTTCCAAAAACACTAGTTTGACTTACCTAGATAGGTAGTCCGCACTGCGAATGATTGTACTAATCCTGATCCCCCGTTCCTACTAGGTAGGTGCTCCATTAGTAACCCCAGGCCAATTCCTTTCTTCTTTTCTATTCTTTTCATTTCTGCTTTTACCTTTAAAAAAGAGTATTCATTGTATATATCTTTCTGTGCAATAAGTGAATAAACAAGAAATAAATAATTGATCTAAAATTAAATTCTAAAAGAATCAACTGATAGCTACTCCGCCCTCCGCAATTTCAGACTATGGAGAAGAGGGAAGAAAAAAAGGGGAGTAGGTCAACTAAGGGGAGGAGGGGGGAAGGAGGATAAAGAAAGAAATAGGAACAAGGTGGATGTTGACAATAGTAAGGACTATCTAGATAGGGTAAAACCTGATAGACCGCGAGTCTGGAAGCCATAAAAAGACCCAAGTGGATCGGTCCCTTTCCCCCCAAGGGAACATTTACAGAAGAGACAAAATCTTTTCTGGTCACATGCGGTTCCGGAGTTCGGGCGCGGCAGGCAAATCAGTGATCAGGCCCATCCACGCCCGGGGCTGCCGAGATGCTGATTGGT